GAGCAAACAGACTGGATTGTCCCTCATAAAACTTCAAGGGATTGAGGGCTATCTGAGGAATAGTTTATGCTTTTATTCCCTGTAACTTCAGAGGCCACTGGACCTGGATCTGATTCTGCATGGCCACACACTGTCTTGCAGCCTAGGGGACTTCCCTGAGGTACAGGGGTGGTGTGAGGTGCCAGTTATCTGTGATGCAGACAGCAGGCAGTGTCCTTTGCTGCTCAGCTGCAGGGAATTCCTCGCTGTCTCTGAGCAATCTCTGGAACTTCTGTTATCATAGGAGATAGCATCCTCGGGCACATTCCCAATTCCTCTGCTTTCCACTTGCTTCCATGAGGTATGACACTGAAGTTTCTCTTGCCAATGTGCTTTCCTCCCATTTTGTGTTTTACATATCGCCTGGTTTCCTACAAGCCTTGGAAGCCCTATCTCTGTTCATAACTCCTATAAGTATCATTGCTGTGACATCATATCAGTCCAGTCCTTCATTTCCTCAGCAACTGAGTGCAATGACATTTTTTTCTCTACATTCTCCTGATCTAGCACCCATCTCAACTTCCTGCTTTTATTTATTTTTATAATTAGCTATCAGAAAGCACCTCTCCTATGAGGAAAGGTTGAGGGAACTGGGCTTGTTTAGCTTGGAGAAGAGAGGGCTGCAGGGTGGCCTTCCAGTACTTGAAGGGAGCATAGAAACAGGAGGGGGAACGGCTGTTTGTGAGAGTGGATGGTGACAGGACAAGGGGGAATGGTTGTAAACTGAGACAGGGGAGGTTTAGGTTGGATATCAGGAGGAAGTTTTTCCCCCAGAGGCTGGTGAGGCACTGTTACAGGTTGCCCAAGGAGGCTGTGGATGCCCCATCCCTGCAGGCATTCAAGGCCAGGCTGGATGTGGCTCTGGGCAGCCTGGGCTGCTGGTTGGTGACCCTGCACATAGCAGGGGCTTGGAACCGGATGATCTCTGTGGTCCTTTTCAACCCAGACCATTCTATGATTCTATGAGTAGCCTCTGAGCTCAGAGGCTCCTGGAGGTCAAAATTCAATGATACAAAATGTCATGCACTCATCAGGGATGGGATGTTCTCCTGTATCACCTTAACAGCATCAATATTTGCTTACTTCTCTAGTGGCAGCCTCACACAGAACCTCATCTTTCTTTACTTTTTCTCCTCTGCTCTTTTCTCTCTATCTGCCCAGCATCTCTCCGCTGTATGTCTGCCTTCATAACTATGGCATTGGTTCATCATTTTTCTGGTGTTTCTGCAACCTGTAGTAACTTTTCCTTAATCCTTACTCTCATCTGTCCCTATTTGCTTTCAGATATCAGCTGAAAATAAAAGCTTTTGCTTTCTTTCATAACTTAAAAAATAAGTACTATCCCTGGAGGTGTTCAAGGCCAGGTTGGAAGGGGCCCTGAGCAGCCTGATGTAGTGGGTGGCAGCTGAATAGTCTTTAAGGTCCCTTCCAACCGAAATAATTCTACAAGTCTATGATTTTTCTCTTCTGTCATTTATGCATCCATTCTTTTGGCACAGCTTGGTATTTTAAAGGTATAGCATCCGGGTAAGCTGTGGACACACAGGGTACACTGCCATCAGATTGCTACTGGCATATCTTAAGCTGTAGCTGATACACTTAACAGTTTAAAGGGAGAAATTATTTAAAAGGTGTATGAATTGTGGCGTGCCATGAATTATTGATTTATTGCCATGATGATTCCTGGCAGTAAATGAAACATCTCGGAAAATGCTCCTAACTAAAGCAGAATGGAGAAAATACTGTTGTATGCATCCAGCAATAGAATTTAAACAGGTCTATGGGGAAGGATGAAGTATAAAAGGAGAGTTTCATTCTGCTGGCTATTTAATGTAACTGTGGTGAGCCCCGTGCACATCCGTGAGGTTGAACAGTTTCTTTTGGTTTTCATGTGGGGTTTGTTTTAAGATATCTGAAACACTTGGGAGCGAAGGGTGGGAGAGCTGTGCCTCCTAAGTCAAAATGGAAGTCTCAGCATCTGTGTGTTTACAGAAGCACTAAAAGCTGCAGTGGTTTTGCTGAAATGGGATGGCTTGCATATGGAGAATCAGGCCCACGACAGGTCTAATATCAACTGTATGCTCTTTGGCAAAGTGATGAAGAAATAGTGAATGATGGCATTGCTTTCCTCTTACAGTGACCTTTTCATTAAACTCCTTACCGTCCTTCCCACAAGCAGGTGGTAGTGCTGTGCTGTTTCTCAGATGAGATGCTATGATTAGGAGTAGAGAAATGATTATCTGTCACCTATGGAGAATGTGGCAGAGCTTCTGGGTCTTGATGACGAGTCAGAAGACTGGGTCATCTTACTGACAAGATCAAAAGTGCTCCAAAATTGGCAAAACTTGAAGAATCAAAACTGTAAAGTTTAAGTTAGTACAGGCTGTGCTGTCTTTCAGTGTGGCAGTACTTTTTATGGCCTCATGTGTATGTCATGTCTAATCTTCTTTGTGTGGAACTTGTCTGATCTCAGTAGAATTAAAATGAACTTTGGCATTTTTTCTACTTTGGAAGGAAAGTTTCTACATTTATGGTTTTACTGAAAAGTTGTGTTTTTTTTTTCCTTACTGAAAAACTGCTTTTTACATGAATGGATGCAAGGCTTCTAGTTTTCAATTTCACTCTGGAATGTGTAACACAGAAGGGTGAAACTGGTGAATTGTTGTGCAGTATCAGCAGCCTGAGCCTGGTTTCGTACCTTCTTGCACGTAACAGATCCCAAAGCTGAAACCTCTCTAATTTTGTGTAGATCTGTTTAGAATCTGTTGTTTTTATCCTTGTGTGTCTATTTGTGCTCATAGGGATTATCCTAATCTCTGGAATTGTCTGTTATTACACTGCCTATATGGGCAGGAATTGTCTGTTATTACACTGCCTATATGGGTTTTGAAGTAGCCAAGTTATGTTTCTAAAAACTGATTTAAGCTTTTTAAACAGGGGCTTGCTTGCTTAGGCCAATTAATGTATTCACATTTCCACCAATTGCTGTGTGTCAGTGTTCCGCACTTGTGCAACTGGCATGGGAAATCACAGCCGGCTGTTTTCATGGGAGCCTGACTTTCCTGGTGTGGCAAACTGCTCTGCTTAGAATCACAGAATAGTTTAGGTTGGAAGGGACCTTTAAGAGCATCTACTTCCAACCCCCTGCTGTAGGCAGGGATACCTCCCGCTAGAGCAGGTTACTCAGAGCCCCATCCAGCCTGGCCTTGAAAGCTTCCAGGGTCAGGGCATCCACAGCATCACTGGGCAACCTGTTCCAGTGCATCACACCACCCTCAAGGTAAAGAATTTCTTTCTGATATCTGGTCTAAATCTACCCTCTTCCAGTTTAAAACCATTTCCCCTTGTCCTGTTGATACATGCCCTTATAACAAGTCCCTCTCCAGCTTTCCTGTGGGCCACCTTTCCTGTGGGCTCCTCCTTTACCCACTGGCACTGTAACTCAGTTAAAAAAGGCCACTTCACTAGCTATGATGGATAACAGTTTGGCAACTTCATGTGCCAGTTCCCTCAGAACCCATAGATAGATCTCATTGGGTCCTATGGGCTTGTACACCTTCAGATTCTTTAAGTGGTCTCGAACCTGATTTTAACTTACAGCACACAGATCTGCCTTCTCCAAGTTCTTACTGTTGCTTTCTGCAACTTGGGCAGTGAGGCTAGAACCCTTGCTGGTGACGACTGAGGCAAAGAAGTCAGCTTTCTCCATATCCCTCGTGACCAGCTCTCCAGTTTCCTTCCTGGCTGCTCGGACAACTTCTTTGTAGTCCTCCCAGATAACCTGTTCCTGCTTCTACTCCCTATTTACTTTCTTTTTGAGCTTAAGTAAGTCCAGGAGCAACTTGTTTGTCCATGAAGCCTCCTGGTGTTCTTGACTGCCTTCCTTTTTCTCAGGATGCACTGTTTCTGGGCCTGGAGGAGATGGTCCTTGAATACCGACCAGCTTTCTTGGGCCCCTCTTCCCTCCAGGGCTTTCCCACGTGTCACCCCAACAAGGAGTTCCCTGAAGAGTTCCAAGTCTGCTCTCCTGAAGTGCAGAGTAACAAGCTCACTGCACACCCTCTTTGATAGCCTAAGGATTTTGAACTCTGCCATTCCATGATCACAACAGCCAAGGCTGCCCTTGAGCTTTACAGTACTCACCGGTCCCTCCTCTTTGGTGAGGACAAGGTCCAGCACAGCACTTTCCTCTTGGGTTCCTGTACTTTCCTGGGATGAGGAAATTGTCAGTACATTCCAGGAAGCTGTTTGATTTCTGGTGCGCTGCAGGAGGACCATGTTTTATGGCTGTGAACCTGTTCCTACCTGTTTATAGAGGGCCTCATCCACTTGGTCTTCCCAACCAGGCAGCCTGTAGCAGACCCTCACTATGATTTCTCAACCCTTAAGCTTTAGTGTCTTTGGCTGAAAACACCAAATCTCAGTGGACTGTGGGTGGGGTCGGTGTGACAAAGGACATCTCTGTCCTCTTGTCTTCCCCATACCTGGAGGATGGGCCCCAGTGGTGTTAAGAGAAATGCCCCGTGTCTTGCTTCTTGCTCTGCCTGGGCTTGGTGTGGGGTTCACCGTGGGACCCTTGTAGAACCGGGCTGTTTGCTGCCCTGTGCGAGCCGCCAGTTCAGCCATAGGTCCTGCTGCAAACCTCATGCATTATGAATAAAGCATTGTCTCCTAATGTACCGTTAGCGGTTCTTGTTGAAAGGCACTGAAAAGGCTGTTACAAGTGTTGGGCTTCATCTCCCTCTGCTGCGCGAACTTCCCATCCTGTGTTGTGAGGCTTCGGGCAGTGCTGCTTTACCGATTTCTGTATTTTAAAGTGAATTTTGCCCAAGTTGAAGCTGCACGCTGCGTTCTGCCTGAGTGCATGCTGCCTCGCGATGAAGCAGACGGCTCTTTGCCAGGAGCGAGCCGCTCACTTTCTGTAATTTACCCTTCCTTTTTGGCTCGGTCGGGCTTTTAATCAGCGCCAGCCCGTTCCCTCGCGTTCGTGTGTGTGTGTGCAAGGGAGAGGGCGGCAGAGCGAGGAGCTGTGCCTGGGCTATGCTGACAGACGACTTTCCCCTCGGCTGTCAGGTTCTGAGCCTGTCGGCAGCGCTGCTGGTAAGTGAGGGGGGAAGAAAAGCCCACGCCGGGGCTGGGGGAGCGATGCTGAGCCGGCTGGGGGAGCGGCACGCAGGGAGAGCGGGATGCCGCCGGCGTGGCGGTGCAGGCTCCCCAGCTGCCCATGCAGACGGCTCAGTTGGCAGCGAGGGATTTCCCTTTCCCCTTCCCTCCTTTGCTAAAGATCCTTCAGCCAGTATTACTGGTTGGATCCTTGGCTTATTGTTGGTATTTTTTTTTTAATAAAAGAAAAATCCGTGCGGGTTTGCTAGTCCGGAGCTGAGCCGCTAATCCCCTGGGTCTGCCCGATGATGCTGGCGTGCCCCCCGCGTACACCTGAGCGCCCGGGGAGGGGGGAGAAGGGGCTGCCAGAAATGTTGGCCACTGGCGGGCAGCCCCGTTAAAGGTGGAGCGTGTGCTTGGGGCAGCCGCCCATCATCGCCGAGCCATAACCGACGCGGTAACCTGCAGCCATGGAGTCGCCCACGAAGGAGATTGAAGAATTTGAGAGCAACTCTCTAAAATACCTACAGCCAGAGCAGATAGAGAAAATCTGGCTTCGGCTCCGAGGCTTGTAAGTAACACTTTTTTTTTTCCCCCCCACGTCCTTCTCCCATTTCCTCCCATTGTCAAAGTGATTGTAGCACTTTCCTTTTCCTTTCTTGTCGGTACCTTCAAAATGACAAGGGAGTTTCCACACCTGTTCTCCATAAATACAGTGACTTAATCTCAGCAAAGATCCACTTGCTTCCTTAAACGAACCCCGCGTGTTACACCGAAGAAACATTCTTAGCGGGCAAGTAGAAATGTCATTAATGAGACACGGTAATTTAGCAGCAGCTTTGTGCGATGCTAATTACTTTTGCTGCAGCACTGGAAAAGTTTTGTTGTTGCCTGGAATGCAACCTAATTGGGTCCTCCGATTTGAGTAATACTTCCATTAGCTGCAACCTACAGAAAGACTTTTTTTCCCTGTACGTGTACACCATTTCTGGCACTGATGCAGTTAACAAGGTCAAAATAGGCAGAGAAAGCACAATTGGAAGAGATTTCCACTTGTGGCAGCAGCAAATTAATGATGCACAGATCAGATCTTAATGATTAGTTTATACATGTGTTGTTAAGCCTGACTTGTCATGAAATGGTGGGACACTGCTTCCTGTGCTTAAAGAACGACCTGGGACTGTAGAAATGTAGAAGTTTACACACTGTAGAGCTTGTGTAGCTTATTTAGAGTTAATGTCTGGCATCTTTTTCAGAGTCTCAGTATCCAAAATGTTGCCTACCGGCGATAAGAGCCACTGTTGGCTGCAGAGCATTTATTTATTTGCCCATCAGTTTTTGGCTCAGCCAAAGAGGAACACTGCCATATTAAGCTGCATCCCTCTCTGTGTTCAGAACTGAGTTGTTTTTTTTTCTCCCTTAGTTGCTCATGTTAGAGAATGTTTCAGCCTGCAGGGTGTGTGTGTGGGGGGGAACAAGAAGGATAGGAAAGAGCAGAACTGGGAACGCATAAGAGGAGCAGGCTAAAAATGGACAACAAAGGGTTTCCAGTTAAACTGGAGTTGCTATGAGAGTTGTTTAGTGTGAGCAGTGACGGCATATTTTTGTAAAGCACATCCAAAACTTCTGCAGGACTCCATGCAGAGTAAAAGACGTGCATGAATATGTATGTCCTTCAAGTCGTCACTCCAGGAAGCCTATTTTGTGAAGGAATTTAATCAAAGTGGTTGACAGCTGTCTTGTAAGCATTCCAAATAGAACAGCCACGCAAAACAAACCCTCTTATTTTCAAATCTGTGCCATGCTGTAGCATTAGGAGTCGTTGCGTTTCTGTCTAATACAGAGTTTAGCAGCATGCTGGTTTGGATCACACCTGAAGTTTTGCAGATAATTCCTTAGCAGCAGATTAGTTCAGGGTCTCTCCTGTCTTCTGTACAAAGAGTGATTGCACATTGTTTGTCAAACTCCAGGCTGTTCCACCTTTGGGAGACTTGGCAAAACTGCAGGACTTATTCCACATTCGCAATTACTGAACTTCAGGCTGTTTCTCAGTGTAGCCCTGTGTTGGCACTGTGTGCGTGTCACAAATGCACCTTTTCTTTCTGAGTTTCAAAATTTCTTTGCTCATAGAAGGGCAAAGAAGAAAGAAATTGGCTGTAAATTTTCTATCTCCACTCATTATATGCATACACACACAAGCTGGTTGCAGTCTGAGGTTTAGCGTCATACTTCATGATTTTTCTTCTCCTTTCTTATTCACATCTGTGTAAGAAGAATGAGTCGATGTGTGCAGCCATCTCAGAAGCCTTGTAAACGAGGGACTTCATTCTGCAGAGATCAAATACTACTCGAGGAGACATCACTCCTTGCATCTGGTGCACTGACAGAGCAGTGCTAAGCAGGCAGTCAGGGGCAGCATGCTGCCAAGGACCTGTAGGCTGCAGCAGGCAGGGACCCAACAGGTTACTGCATCCTGCCACCGCTCCTGCACTGAGAAAGGCAGTGATGATACAAACAGTCCCAGGTGCTCAGTGTCAGGTTTGACATCTCCTTGGTACGACTTCACCTGGTGCTAGGCTCATACCTTCCTCCCTGTGCTCCCACCTCCAGCACCAGCTGGTGTGTCTGCTCCCAGTGACTCCCCAGAGGAGATCCCATTTCATTGCCTCTTTCAGTACCTAGCTTTTCCAGGGAGTGGGGTCTCTTAATTTCCCCCCGTCTCAGCCTGCATAGTTGAAAGGGAATGGAAACCCAAAGGCTGCAAAGGGGCGGTGAAGCTGACGCTCTTTTCAGACTCCTGTAATATAGTGTTTTCTGCTTAAACAATTCTGGCCATAGCTCTTCTTGCTATATGCCATATGCCCAGTAAAGTTCTGTCCCACAGGCTGGTTGGCCTTTGGGTAAGGAACAGAGAAGCCTTTTGGACGGTGTGCAAAAGGCAGGCTTTGAGAAGCTGAAGCATGTGTCTGCAGCATGAGTTGTATGTTGCTGTAAGAGGCAGACAAGATATTGAACTCACCTATGGGAGTGGATTGGAAAAAATTCCTTCCTGGTTTCATTATGCATCTCTCCAGCATGCATTTCTTGGTTAGGACAGTCTGGTTGTCTTATTTGGAAACAGTAGTTCTTGGGCCATATGCAGATTCCTTTTACTGTTTAAGAAAGAGCTAAAATATCTATGTCGTAAAATTTCTGAAATATTGTTACTTGACATATACATATTTGTGACTTAATGATTCTGTGAAGCAATCAACAAGAAGTCAATGAACCTGCAGTGGGTTAATTAAACCCACATGTTTAAGGCAGTGTGATAAATTTTACCACTCATCTGTGGTAAAACTCTTGGCTGTCTCATACGAGAGACCTAAGGAACAAATGCCAGCTTTTATACAAGCCCTGTTAGATATTAAGTTTAATCACAGATCAGAATTAATCTCTTAGTGTTCTGTTTTTAATAAATGTTCATGAAAGGTTTCTGAATGAGCTGTCTCCTGGGCAAAAGTGCCACCAGAGGTATTTGAAACTCCCTGGGGAAAATCGTGCCAGTTGACTTCTGACTGCTTTGACCTTTCATGTCGTACCACAGCGTGAGCAAGGAGTTTACTCCAGAGCTTTTCTCACAGGACCCCTCTCAAGCAAAACGTGTGCCTGTGCAGCCGTCAGAGACCTTTCTTTCCTTGGAATGAATGAACCAGCTTTCCCTGCAGCATCATCCTTCCAGGACTAGACCTGCTTCTGAGTTTCATTGTCATCATAAATGAACCAGGCTTGAGCAGCTTCCTGTCCCTTCTGGGGTATCTTAGATGTTGGTAGTAAGAACAGAGAGCCTGCAGAGCCGTATATGAAACATGATGACAAGCTGTTACACGAGAATGCTGTGTTTTCCTGTGGCAGTGCCTCTGAGCTCCCTAGTCCCATCCTCACCCCTGCCTGGGAGTCAGAGTGGGAGAAAGCAGATTGCCAAATATAGGGGAATGAGCAGAAAAGTCGTGGAGAAAGGTGTGTATGCTCTAATGCCTGGGGGTGAGAAGGCATTAAATCCTGAAGGGAGGGCTGCCCCCAAACTCCCTGTCCTTATGCCAGGACAGCCCCTGGGGTCTTCTGACTTGCATTTGACTTGCATCAGTCTGAACGCTGCCCGTCTCTGACAGCTGCACAAAGCAAAAAACATGTCTTGCCAGAGGCTTCCCCTCCTGGCTGCCTGAGGAGTATCTGCATTTTCCTCCTCCTAAACACGTTTTTAATTCATGAGCAGATAACTTTTGTTCTTTGGCTGCTGCACGAGTTCAGGGATGTCCATTTGTGATCTCACAGGGAGACTGCCTTTGAACAGCTTCCTGTTATTTCCTAGCTGTGTTCACCCATGAAGGCAGACAGCCTCAGTCTGCAAGGAAAAGTGTTCCTGAAGGATGTGCTGATTGCTTGTTTATGGCTCTCAGTAATTCCTTCTGCTAGAAAAAGGGACTTGAGTTTTTTGCTCTTTAGTAAGGGCCACGTTCTGTCTTCTGCACCCCACAGGCTGGCTTTCCATAAGGCTGGCTTTTTTTCAGACAAACCAGCTCTGACTTGGACACTGCATACAGAGGAGTTACTTATGAGTCCGCCCTGCACTCTCCTACAATAGCCAGTAACTCATTCTCTTACGCACAGGACCTTCTGCCCTTCATCCATCAAAGTTTATCTGGACCTATTATGGAGCACTAGTTGTGGCAGAGCTTGGAGACCCCATTTCAAAACACATCTGCACGGTTGCTTTTTAAGCTGGTGGTTTCTCCATGAAGCAGTGAGCAGTGATGGCTGTGTTGGGATGTTGTTGTTTTAGCACTTGGGCTCCCAGCTGCAGGACTGCAAACTCTCATTTGCTACTTAGGGCTCTTAAAGATCTATGAAGTGGCCTAAGTTACCTTCCAGCTTCTCAGACATGGAGACCTGAGCCCTTTTCAACACTAGGATTACATGTTGTATCTGATGGTATTTAAGAATGCAAGGGCACATATCCAGAGAGCTTCAGTTGAGCTGTGATGGTTTAGGGCAGCTAAAGATCCAGCTTGGAGGTATTTTCAGATTAATTCTTGGTTGTTTTTTGCAGAAGAAAAAGAAAAAAGTTGATTTTTAGCTGTCATAGCGTAACCAGGATCTGCTGGTGCCCCTGCAATAGCTTAAGAATTGCAGAGGGAGAAAAGACAAAATGTACTTTAACTTTCTTCCTGATAGCTGGAATTATAATGTTAAATTGCTAAAGTCATAATAAATCCCTTCATTCTCAGTGTAGCCCTTCCTCATGCTGCCAAAGATGAAACTGCAAACAGCAGCAGTCTCTGAGCTGAGACTCAAATGGGATGTTTGAGTTTGATCTCATCTGTCCGGCTCTCCTGCTCAAACCTGTCAGTGTAAAATTGGTCTTAAAAATCTGAAGGGGAAGGAAAATAGAAGCACACATAAATCAGTGAGTTTGAAAAGTTCATGGTTTTGCTGAAGATCCGGAAAGATATTTCAGCACGTAGGGGATGTGCTTAATTTCCTCTGCAGAGAACCATGCATTCTATCGATGGTGAAGACATCCAAATGCAA